CTCGTCCATGCTCATCCTCCATCGCCATCGGTCGCGTGGCAGGTCCTCTCCATTGGTCAGCACGTGGCCATCTCCGCTGCCGTCCCAAAGTTTTACAAATCCGTGAGTTGCGTCTCACACGTATCTCGTGTCTCCTTGGGTCTTCGTGATTTGGTGTCCCAACACCCTCACTCGCTCACTCACTCACTCACACACACACACACACTCACTCACCCACGCACACACACACACACACCACACGACCCGCCAGCACGATAGAGGCCGCAAGTTGGCGCTGCTGGCGGTGTTGAGCGCCAATCACGTGGCCATCGGCAGCGGTCGACCGCAGCGGGTCGCGCGGGCGCCGTGTGACCAGGGACTCGTCTCGTACCGCGGCACCATCACAGACGTACGCCGTGAGGTTGTTTTCGGGTGAATGTGTGTGTGGGGGGGATGTGTATTGTGTGTATCTTTGTGTGTGTGCGCGTTGTGTGTGTCTGTGTCTGCGTCTGTGTCTGTGTCTGTGTGCGTGTTGTGTGCTTGTGTCTGCGTCTGTGTTTGAGCTGTTCACTTGTGGTCGTGCAGCATTATGACTGACAGCGTGAGGTTCCGTTCCATGTTCCCTTATGTAGGCGGCGAGGGCGGTGTGCGGCGTGTTCACCCTGGACGACAAGCTCTTGTTGTACTTGACCAGACCGGCGCACGACCGGTATGCACGAGCAAGGAAACGTCGTGCGGGTCCACGCACACACACATATACACACATGTACATGTACGCACGTACACGCACGCACACACACACACACGCACACATGCATGCACACATACACACACAGCATATACACGCATATATACACACACATGTGCATATACGCACACACATACACACATGTGCATATACACACTCAGACACACTCACAGCACCATTACCATTCATACCATGTCCATCAGGCTGGTCTTTGGTTTACGAGAGGGAACTGTGATCACAATCACACACGCACACCCGCTGCTCCAGCCACCATGCACCCGCCACTCCCTGGATGATGATGACAAAGATCGTGATGATGAAGGCCGTAAACGTGGCAACAGGGGCGTCGCAAGTCATTCGCCCGTGCTGGTTGGCATCGCCTGCTGTTTGCGAACACACGTCTCCATCACATCGTTTGCCGGCGCACACAAGGATCGAGACAGCAGCGCCAACAGCAGCAGCGTGGCGTGGCAGCCACCGTCACCAATCATCCACGCCAGCTACGCAGAGTACGGTGACGTGTATGTGTGTGTGCGTGTGTGTGTGTGTGTGTGTGTGTGTCTGCTGCGCCTCTCTCCACATGGGTGCTTGCAACGTCCATGCCCAAGCAGTGCATTCACGCGTCTTCTGCTGTGGTGTTCTTTGTGTTTGCATGTGCATTCGCTGCAGGTACTTCAACTCGATGCCGTTTCAATACTACCACGCGTTTCTTGACTTTGAGCAGCACACGCTCAACACGTTGACGGTAACAATCTCTGTACCTGTCGCCAACTCTGGTGTCTGTGATTTGATTGAGGACACGTTTCCTCTGTTTCTTGACGTGATTGCACAGTGTGCTCGTCTCCAACACACACATACACACACGGTATGCACATGCACTCACTCGCTCACTCACTCACTCACTCACTCACTCACTCACTCACTCACTCACTCACTCACTCACTCACTCACGCACGCACGCACGCACACACACAACACCACTACGATGGTGGTGTGCAGGGTGCCCGTGCAAGTGCGCGTGTGCGCCGGGCGCTGCTGTCGATCTTCAAGCAAAACGCATCGCCACCACTCCCGCCCGCCCTCAGTCGAAACTTTTACCGCGAATTCTGCACACACACGCACGGGTGCACTCTGAGGTCGGTGTGAATGCACAACTGTGTGTATGTGTGTTGTGTGTGTGTGTGTGTCTGTCTGTCTGTCTCTGTCTCTGTTCGTCGGCTATGCCTGTCTTGCCTGGTGCTAAGAAACTCCCTTGCATCGCACAGTGGCATTCACATCTCCGTATGCCAACGCTTTCGCTACAGCCGCCCGCTGGACTCGACCACGCCCGATTTTGCGCGCGTGTGGACATGTGTACACGACGTGAAGCGAAAGACGGCGGAGTTGTGGGCGCCGTTCTCTCCAGAAACGATCACCATCGATCGCCTCACAGACACGCGCGTGCACAGCCTCACATTCACGCAGGTGGTGCTGCGTGTTAATTGGTCGATTGGCTGCGTGGTTGGTTGATTGTGTGTGGGTGAGTGCGTGTTTCTGTATGTGCGTCGGAGAGAGAGAGAGTGTGTGTGTGTGTGTCTGTCTGTCTGTGTGTGTGTGTGTGTCTGTGTCTGTGTGTCTGTGTCTGTGTGCGTGTGTGTGGCGGCCACGGCTCGTGATCCCATGGATTGTACGCCACACTCATCCCAATTCTTGTTTTCATCTTGCAGTGCGACCTTGGACTTGCTGTCAAGTGCTTGCTTGGCACCGTCATTCTCTCCACCCCCACCTCAACTACCACCACCTCCAACCCTTCGTCTTCATCATCATCATCGTCATCATCGTCATCATCGTCATCACCACTGAGCCACCGATGGAAGCTCTCATCTGGCGGTTCCGACATTTCGCTACTGCTCCCACCGCCACACGCTGCGGCACTGACACCCGGTGATGTTGTGGCCATCCCGGCCTTCAGGGTTGCTGTGGACACGATGATGTGCGACCTCTCACACCGCCTCGAAGGAGCAAAGTTTCGGGTCCGTTGCACATGTTTGTGTGTGTGTGTGTGTGTGTGTGTGTGTGTGTGTGTGTGTGTGTGTGTGTGTATGCGTGTGTGTATGTGTGTGTTTGTGTTTGTGTTTTGAGCGTACTTGCTTGTGGTTTGGTTCACGTTCGCGTGTGTAGGAATTGCTTCATCTGACTCACTCATGATATTTTTGCGTTCATCGTTGACACCACTTTCCAGCTGTTGCACTTGGAGCCGCTAACACTGTTCAAGTTCCCTGGCATTCAACCAGCAGCCATGGTGCGTGACCCTGGCATCATCATTATCGCAGCCATCACACCTGCATGCACACATACACGCATATGAACACACATGAGCTGCCAACCGTGCTTGTCTTTGTTGATCGCTGGCATGCACACTCACACATACACACAACAACTTACGGCAGCAGCCGCGGGATGTGTGCGCTGGTGACCACCCGAGCAAGGCTGCAAAAGTTTGCAAGGCCGAAAACACACCGTCTGCCTCTTCATCAGCACATGTGAATGGAACCTCACCACCACCGCGGCCGCTGTGCCTCGAGTCTGGCGTGTACGTCCTGCTGCTGCATCGCCGAAACACACGCACGCAATCGGGGTTTGAGGTGGACGCAGCCGTACTCTCGCCAACGAACCAAACAGCAGCGCCGCCACCACCACCACCACCACCATCATCATCATCATCATCATCATCATCATCATCATCATCATCTCCATCATCCCCGCCGGTGCCTTGGACTGTGGATGGCATTGTGACCATCCCGTTTCCACCATCGAGCGACTACCCGTTGCCAGAACTGTTGCAGGTACACAAGCATGCCATGTTCTGAGCACTTTGCATCGTGCCCGCTCATGTGCGTGAGCGAGCGACTTGGTGCGTGTCCACGCTCACACGACATGGACGATATTGCCGACACTCACAACAGACACACATTGTTTTGTGCGTATGTGCGTGTGCGTGTGTGTGTGTGTGTGTGTGTGTGTGTGGTGTGTGTGTGTGTGTGTGGGTGTGGGTGTGGGTGTGGGTGTGGGTGTGCGTGTGTGTGGGTGTGGGTGTGGGTGTGTGTGTGGGTGTGCCAATAGGTCTACGGCGTGGACGCTCTTGCTGCGTCAACGGGTCACCAGCACTTGTCGTCGCCATCTTCCCCACCGTTCCAATCGCCGTCATCGTCGTCGTCATTGTCGTCGACACTGATGACCCGCCCGTCGGTTGGCAGCGGGGTTGCCATCACCTCTCGCGTCACGATGCAATCACAAGTGGTGGCACGGCTCCTGCAGCACGCGTCCCTGCGCTCGTACTGTCCACAGCACGTGCGCGCGTGCCTGCATGCAACGAAACGTACTGGTGGCGCCGTTGTGTCTGTTGTGGGCGTTGTCTCGGAGCGCAGGTTTTCGTATTCGCAGGGCCAGGACAAGGAGATGGACGTGGTGCGCGTGTGTTTGCGCGATGTGCGCGTGCCGGACGATCGTGTGGATGTGTACTGGCGATTATCTGTTGCACAAGAACAGCTCCTCGGTGTTCGCAATGGCAGGCGTGTCCTCATGTCTCGTCTCATCCAGAAGGTAGGGCCATCTGTGTGTGCATGTCTGTGTGGGTCTGTGTCTGTGTGGGTCTGTGTCTGTGTGGGTCTGTGTGGGTCTGTGTGTGTGTGTGTGTCTGTGTGTGTGTGTGTGTGTGTGTATGTCTGTGTGTGTGTCTGTGTGTGTTGTGTCCCTCTCTCTCTCTCTCCCTCTGTCGGTCTGTCGGTCTGTCTGCCTGTCCATGTGTTGGCTCACCAATCGCCTTTGCGATAGCTTCTTCTTGTATCTTTCATGTGCGTTTCCTTCCGCAACCACACTCCGTTTCACCTGCTTTCTCTTACCCCACGTTTGCATGCATGCATGCGTGCATGCATGCACATGTGTGCACGTGCAGGTGTCGACGACAGGCAACCTGTACCTGGAGGCCACGGGGGCGAGCCAGGTTGAGGTGCTTGGATGCTGTGCCGTGTGGTCCCAACAAGATAAGGATGGGGCTGCAATCACGTCATCGTGTGGAGGCGGAAGACGAGCTGGGAGTCAACATGCGCGTACTTGCACTGGTGCTCATGACAAGGACAGAAACAATACCATTGACGATGCGTATGTTGATAGTGGTGATGGTGATGATGATGGTGATGGTGGTGATGATGATGATGATGATGATGATGATGGTTGTGGACGTGGTGATTCCCGAGGGAAGAAGCAGCCCGGACTCAAGTTCCCACCGTCGTGGCGTGCGCTATGCATGTGCCATCAAGATGGGGGCGTCACAGCAGCATGCGAGTCGGCCACACACGTGGCGCTTGATGTGGCAGACGCTCTTGCTGGTCCGGGCTCATGTGTGCATGCATGGCAGCGCCAGAACTTGCACGAGGTGCTGGTGTCTGCATCCACCCGCGACCTTGTTGCGTTGCAGAGTATCCAATGCACATGCAAGCTCCTGCAGATCAACAAGGCATGCAGCTTTGTGCTTGCATCAGTGCGTTTGTGTGTGTGTGTGTGTGTGTGTGTGTGTGTGTATGTATGTGTGTGTGTGTGTGTGCATGTAACCCGTGTGCGTGTGTATGTAACCCGTGTGCGTGTGTGTAATTCGCACGTGTTTATTCAGTGTGGTCAACTTGTGGGATGCACACTCACTCACGTGTACACATCCACGTTGTGTTGTTGCTTTGCCTCTTACGCCAACTCCCCTGCAACTCCATCACCACGTGATCGCAGATTGTGGCGCGAGCCAAGTGCCCGCTGTGCGGCGGTGTGCTGGCCGCCAACGGCACAGGTGCTTGTGAGTGCGCTGCGATGGGCGCGCACATGACACACCCGCCACGGTCGTCCTCAGCATCGTCAGCAACACCATCGACGCGCCCTCGCCTGGCCGTGTATGTGTATGCGGAGTGCGACGATGCCACTGGGCGCGTGTATGTGGCGGCATACGACGACACTGCCCTTGCCCTGATCCGCTGCTCTGCGATGGACCGCGACAACCTGCTCTCCGTCTGCATTCGTGATGGACAGCAGGAGTACTCGCGCAAGGACGGCGCATACAGTACGATGACGCTTGTCTGTTTGTTTGTTTGTTTGTTCGTTCGTTCGTTCGTTCGTTTTATGGTTTTTTTTTTTTGGTTGGTTGGTTGGTTGTTGTGGTCCTGTGCGCGTGTGTGCGCGTGTGCGTGCGGGTGCATGCATGTGCCTGTGCGCGCGTGTGTGTGCGTGTGCGTGCGGGTGCATGCATGTGCCTCTGCGTATGCGGTTTTTTTTGTCTTATGTTTCTGCACGTGTGTCTTCGTGCGACCACTGTCTCTATCGATCAGCACGTGTTGTGCTGCTTGCTCGTGACTGCGCTTTGTCCATGTCACCCATTTCAGTCTGCTCGATCGCTCACCGCCCGCGCGTGTTTCCGAACATGTTGTACTGGACGTTTCACTTATCCATTCGAGCAGCCAACCCATTGTTGGTTGACTTGTGCGAGGCGCGAGGCGTCGTTCGCACAGTCAACCTGTAAGCACATTGCAGCCAACCTGCCCATCTTCTCTTCTTCTCACATGCAACAACCTCCAGCCTACATAGCTGTCCCTCCCCTTGCCCCTTGCTTCCTGGCACGCTCCTTGCTTTCCTTTCCTTTCCTGCCTTTCTGCCTTTGCCTCTCTTCAATTTTCCTTCTGCGCCCATGGATGGCAATTCATTCTCGTCATCCTTCTCCATTGCCCTACCTTGACCAATGCACACACACGCGCGCACGCACGCAGGGCGCTCCGCTTCGATTCTATCGTGCCTCCCACTGGTGTCGGGCGTCACAACCAACGACAGCAGCAACGACAACACGAGCAACAGGTGAGCAGCAGCTTCTTCGTTTGACCGTGCTTCGCATCACCAACAACAGCACACTGTTGCATGATGTGACACGCGCCTCTTCCCTTTGGCCCCTTTCCCTCTGTGCCACATCACACGCCCGCCGTTGTTTTGAATGTCTTTCTCGTTTCAATGTGTTTGCTGTGACAAATATCATGCGTGCTGTCAGACGTTTCGATTCGTGTCGGGTTGCCTGCCTGGTTACTTTTGCTTGGTGCCTGTGGCTTGCTTGCCCTTGCCAACCACTCAAGAAACACCGTGTTGTTGTTGTTGTTGTTGCTGTTGTTGTTGCTGTTGTTGTTGCTGTCATGTGTCAGTAACTCCCTTCCCGCCACCACCACCACTCACAACACGAATCTTGCGTCTGCTTCGCACGCGCTTGTTTCGCATGCGGGTCTGTGGCCATCCTGTGTTCTTTGTCGAACGATTGCCCCGGCATATCGATGCGTGGAAATGCTAATTTTTTGAAAATGATTGACGAACCCGAAGGCCGCCACCCCAAGCACAACCGTCTCGCGTTTACGTCTCGATTGCACAGGGGTGCAGGAAGTGGACCTGCGCCAGCGGCTCCACTCGTTGCTCTGAGGGTTCGATGTGGGATGTGTGGTGAACGACCGGTGTGTGTGTTTTGATGCGCGATGTGTGTGTTTTGATGTGCGATGTGTGTGTTTTGATGCACGATGTGTGTTTGATGCGCTCATTGAACCGTCAAAACAACAAGGTCTTAACACAAGACGCGACAACGCCAACGCGAACCGTGGCGAGGCCTGAGGCACACAAGAACACAAACGAGAGGGAACAAGGTAACATCAAACCTCGCTGGCGACAACCCTACTGCCTGCAGCACTGCAGCAATGCAGCAGCAACGACATCTCACTGTCTGCACCTTCAGTGCCTTAAGCACATCCAGCACGCAGGTGTTTCCTGACATCACAACCGTCTGTGTTGCTTGGCAAGGTGTGGCAGTGGTCAGTGTTGTGGTTGGCGGCGGCAACCTTTGTGGCTTGTTGTGATTGGTTTCACATGCAGACGAAAACGTGGCCTTCCTTCTTCCTCCTCCTCCTTGCCAACCGCGCCCAACCCACGCATGATGTTGCATGGCCACCAACATCATCGGCATGGCAGTGATCATGATGACATCCACCAAAACTCAAAACGTCAGCGCCTTTTTTGGTGCGTGTGTGCGTGTGTGTTTTTGCGTGTGGCGTGGCCATAAACGTCACTTGCGTCAGTCACACGACGGGCGGAAGTGCTTCAGATGCAAAAAGTGCTGGGTGACGGGGGATTTTGCGGGTGGGGCTTCGCGCGAATGAAATTGATTTCGCGAAGCCTTGTCGTGTGCTATGTTTTTCATGAAATCAAGTCGGCAAATCACATCATGTGCACGGCAGTCGTCACGTTTCGAGTCTGTTCGCTTCGTTCGAAGCATCGAAGGTGACGAAATTAGTGGATGACGGTTCCGTTGACAGCATTTTGCTGTCATTGAAATGTACCCAACCAAAAAGTGCGCTCATCCGGTTCCGGGTGGTTTCCGAGAAGCAATGCAAGACTGATGTCACGATCGCGCGTTTCAATGCGGGTTGGGTCTGCTCGCGGGTTTGGGTTGCACTTCGTTGGCGTGCAGGCGCTTGATCTTGCGTGTGCATTGCAAATCACAAGCACAAAAAAACAGCACAAGCGCAAGCACAGCGAGCGCAAACCAACCAACCGACCAACCGACCCACACAACCAGTTGTAAGCGCAAAGGGTTGTGATCAACGTCGGCTCGTGATCTCATTCATTTTCTCTTCTCCGTCCCAGCACTCAACAACAACAACACCACCACCACCACCTGCCGTCGCCCACCACCGTCCACCACCCGTTACAACCAACCTTTACGAGTGCCTTGCTCCTCCTCGCACCACTTTTCCCGCCTTCTTCCTTCGCCTTCCCCAAGCAGTCAATCAACCAAGCGCCAACCAAGGAGAAGATCACCAAGCAAGCTCTCCTCCCATCACTAGACCAACACAGCAGCGACGTTGCCACGCGAGAGTGCGCGCCAAAAAGCACCAAGAGCACCAAGAGCACCAAGAGCACCAAGAGCACCACTGCCGATAGCTGACGTTCTTGGAACACCCCACCCCCTTCCCCAAGCAACCAAGAAGAACACCACGGCCACGGCAAAGCCACGCACGCCAAGCCTTCCCACAACCATCACCACCAAGATGGACTCCATGCCAAGTCTGCCTGTGTCAGGATCCCTTCCATCCCTTGACATGCCGCCAAACCCGCGCATCGGCCAGTGCAAGTCTGGGTCCCTGTCTTCCCTCGGCTCCCTGGACGAGGTCACATTCCCGCAAGACACCAACAGCGGCACAATCTCCTCGACCTGCACACCCACGGGCACGGGAATGACGGAAACAGCCACAACCCCGGTGCCGCTGCCACCTGCCGGCACCCTCTCGCCAAACATGCGTGCATGCATGCAAGAAGCGCTCACCTCCTCGGTGCCGCCCGCCACCAAGTCTCTCACCCACTCGCCTTCGGCCATGTCCCTGACCTCCCTCTGCAGCGAGCCTGACCTCCTGCGTGCCTCCTCTGTGGCTTCAGCATCGTCGTCCTCCTCCTCCGCCTCTTCTTCAGCCACATCTTCCTCGGCCTCATCCGTCAAGTCTGCCAAGAAGACCAAGAAGAGCGCCAAGCGCTCGAGGAAGCAGCTCACCGCCGGCAGCAAGCAGCACAAGGCCGCTGCCAAGGCAACGGCCCGCCACCTTGACAATGACGACGACGACGACGCCGCCGCCGACGACGACAACAACAACAACAAGAGTGACAGCTTCGTGTGCCCGCACCCCGGCTGCAAGAAGGTGTACCGCCGCCGCAACCACCTGCAGCGCCACGCGCTCACACACAAGAAGACGCCGCTTTTCAAGTGCACCTTTGCGGGCTGTGGTCGCGGCTTCCACCGCAAGGACCACTTCCAGTACCACCTCCGCGTGCACGCCGGCGACAAGCCGTTCATCTGCGACGAAAAGGACTGCGGCCGTGCCTTCCGCCAGCGCAGCGCCCTCAACCGTCACAAGAAGAGCCACGCCCGCGAGCGCGAGCGCACCTGCTCCTACTGCAACCGCATCTTCGCCAACACGGAGGACCTCTCCGTGCATGTCTGCGCCATCCACGGGCGCGAGGTGCTCGGAGGCATGCCTGCAGGCAAGAAGACCACCTCCCCGTCTGTGCCCGTGCCCTTGCCGACCAGCGCCAGCGCCGCCGTGGCCGCCCTATGTCAGCAGCAGTCGAAGCGGGTGAAGCCCCTCGTCCCCCCGCCCGTATCCCAGCAGCAGCAGCAGCAGCAGCAGCAGCAGCAGCAACAGCAGCAATCCACGCAGGCACTGCAGCAGCAGCAGCGCTTCCAGGCTTTGTTGGCCCTTCATCAGCAGCTTCAGATGCAGACACAGATGCTTCGCCAACAGATGCACGCGCGCCAAGTGCCACCGCCTCCCCCGCCTCCTCCGGCTTCTTTGCAGCAGGAGCAGGAGCAACAACAGCAGCAATACGACCAGGACCAGCAGCAGCAGCAGCCAGTGAACCCCTTGCAAGCGCTGCTCCAGTTCCTGCCACCGCCGCCACCGCCACCATCCGATTCCCGCCCTTCCCCGCTGGCCCCCGTGATGTCAAGCCCTTCATCCACTACCGCGTTCACAGCGACATCCGCCTCTGCTGCTGCCACCGGCACACGCGCACCCCTGCGCATCACGCCCAAAAACCTGGCCTTCCCGTTCTTCCCTTGAGCAGAGACGGTGTGTGTGTGTGTGTCTGTGATGACACTTTGGCCATCTTGGCGCGTGCGCGCGCTTTTGCAGCATAGCTGTGCTCCAAAGCCAGACTGATTATAATGCTTGATTTCTACATTGACGCTGTGGTGTTGCTGGTGTTGCTGGTGTTGACGCTTGTGTCGCTGGTTGCAGCTTGATCTGCCCTATGTTCAGCCTGTGCGCCTTGTTTCTGTGCTCGTGCGTGTTGGTTTTCCTTGCCTACGCCAATCTTGTGTTGATTCGTCTGTTCGTTGCGCGCATTGTTCTATTGTTTATCGCCTCTCCTTATCCTTATGCTGGTGTGGATGTTGCTCTGTCACAATGATGACAAGACGCGTGGGAGTGCCCACTTGTTTGAAGTAAACAATCAGATCGTTCAATGACGTGAAAGGGAGGGGGCGAGGTGTTGAAGAGCTGAAGAGAACAGAGAGGATGCAAAAGCACATCGGCCACGGCGCGAGAGGGCGTTGGAGAATGGACGTTGACGTTAGTAATGGGCAAACGGAAAGCAGGAGCAGTGCGGAAGCGGCAAGGGAAAGAATTCACATTCGCAAACCAAACGCACAAAGATACGCTGACACACACACACAGACATGTACACCATCCCACACACACACACACACACACACACACACACACACACACACACACACACACACACACACACACACACACACACACACACACACACACACACACACACACACACACACACACACACACACACTAGCGCACACACACTAGCGCACAATCAAGCGGCCATTCTCGAGCGTATCAAAGGTCGGACGGTCCCGAGGATTCTGCGCCATACACTTCAGCGCCAAGTCTTGAAACCACGGTGGTATGTCTGCTCGATCTAATATTGCAAACAAGATGATACGAGAAGCAGTAACACGCTGCGATGAGCAGGTGGTAGCTTGCTGCAACAATTGGAATTCGCCAGACATTTCCGCTCACACCTACGTATACACACACACGTACACCAACATGCGCATAAATACGTGCCAGACACAACACCGCCACAGCCCATCCCACTCTGAGCACGACTGCTCCTCACACCTTGGAATGAAAGGCGTTTGCCCTCGTGTAGCAGGTCGACCAGCGCGCTCATGAAAGGGCCACGGTAGCTGGGGCGCTCCTGCTCCACCAGATCCGGTTGCTGTTGCGTTGCCACCTCCCACATCAACACACCAAAGCTGAAGACATCCGCTCCGATATCATATGCGCCACCAACAAGCACTTCGGGTGCCATGTACAGCGGTGTGCCCACGCCCACTGTCATGTCTGGACGCCCCGACATATCCGCTCCACCATCTGCAACACGTGGCTGCAAACAGTGGCGAATGGTGCCGAAGTCTGTAATCTTCGCACGCAACCGCTGAGACACGAGGACGTTGGCACTCTTCAGATCTCTGTTGGAAAGGATGAAAAAAAAAAAAAAAAGCAACCACGTGTTACACAGCACCGCCGGGGATCGCCGTGAAAGTGGAAACGCCATGAGTCTCAGGGCAAGAAACAAGGACGAAAAGCAATAGCCGCGTTGCGCAGATGTGTACTGTTGTTCTTGTTATCCCTCTCTTCTTCTCTCCGATGCTTGCAATCCGTCTCGCTGCCCTCTCTTGTGCTCCAACCTTTCCACCCCTTACACCACGTGCTCAACGTACCGATGCGCGTGGCCCTTAGAGTGAATGAAGGCCATTCCGCTGGTGACATCTCGGAGCAGCTGCACCTTCAGTTCCCACACAGTGTCTGGAACCAGGTCTGGTGCCTGCACAACAGGTTGCCCATTCACCAGCAGAGGCTGCATATCTCCCTCATCCCCCACGTCGGCGTCATCATCATCGTCATCATCATCATCATCATCCACAGCATGCTGCCGTGTCGTGCGATGGTCACGAAGAAGGACTTCCAGGTCTCCCTGCAGAATGTGCTTCAGTGACCCGAGCTCGACGTACTCGAGTACAAGGAACGGGTTGTTGCTGGGGTCCGTGCCTGTGCCGAAGAAACGCACCAGGTGTGGATGCCGCGTCTGCTGCAAGAACTCCGCCTCTGCCTCCACCTCGCGTCGTGTCGCTTCGTCCATCGCCATGCTCTCTCGCAACACCTTCACAGCCACGGTAACCGTGTCCCACTCAGCCTTGTACACAACGCCATACGCCCCCGCCGCCAGACGCTTCTCGAGTCGCAGTTCCTCAAAGCGAATCGTCCACGCCCCTCTGAGCGCCTCCACTTCCGCCTGTTGTCGCCGCAACCTCCGCCTTTGTGCCTCGTTCTCGTCAAGCAACTGACGGCGCCTGAGTTGAGCGCGCAGCACACATTTGCTCACAAGGACCACCAACAGCACGAACGCTGCGCCGCCTGCTGCAGATACGCCGGCGACCATCGCAAAGTCCGGGTGCTCCCTCACGCACTTGGCATTGTCTTGCTGTTGCAGCTTGTACCCCCGTGCACATTCGCAACTGAACGTGTAGCCAACGTTGAGGTCGATTGTTGTCAGCATGATCGTGCAGGTTACTGGAGTGTTGTGTAGCGTGAGCAGCTGCGGATAAGCACGCGTGGGAAAGCCAGTCAGTGAAGGAGCAGACCCTGATGCGTTGATGAGCACAACACGCCCAACAACTGGCTGCACCAGGGCCAGCGAGTCTAGCCACAGGTTGTCCGAGAAATCAGCGATGCTCGAGCCAGGAAGACAGCGCTGCAGCACCAGTCGCGTGTCGTTGTTGTCGCCAAACTGTGGGCTTCGGAGGTTGCGTGCAAGCACGACGTCAGTGCCAATGGTGGAACACAGCTCCGGCGTGGGCGGAAGACTTGTGTTGCTAAAGTCAATCTCGTTGACTGAAGGAACGGACAACTCGTGGAGCTGAGGGCAGTTTGAGACGTTGAGCTGATGCGCACCGTGGCTCACAGACACTCGTGTCAATTGTCGGTTGTCTTGAAGGGACAACGTGTGTAAATGAGCACGGTGGCACAAGGTCAGAGTTGTGTAGGTGGTGTTGACTACCATCAAGTCATGTGCCTCATTGGCCATGAGATCGCAGAGGGCATTATTCGCCAGCGCATGCTCATCCAGTCCAGGCCACCCAAGGTGCAGGCTAGTGAGCTGCATGGACGTATTTTTCATCTTATCGAGGAGTTCCTGAGGCACCATCACGTTGGCAAGGCGTAGGGTGGTCAGGCGGCTCATGTCCCAATGGTCATCGAGTGTGGCAACAGACCCCACCCCAGGATGGGTGTCCAAATCCAAGGTGGTCAGATATGGGAGGCTCACAAGCTGGGACAGATCGAGCAGACCAATTTCATGGTTCCGGGCGTACAATGCCGTCAGGGCCGGGGGCAAGTTCGTGATCGAAGAAATCGGGTTGTCGCTCAAGTCCAAAGACCCAAGACTTCTTGGCGAGTCAAGAGACCACACGCGGGCCCGTGTGATGCGGTTAAAGGATAGATCAAGGGTTTCGAGGGCATAGGTGATGATGCCATCGACGCGGGTGATTTTGTTGTGGGACAAGTCCAGTTCCAGCAGATAATCTCCCCCAAGGGAGGCGTTGGCAGGTAGCGACGTGATGGCGTTGAAACTCAAATCAAGGGACGTGACTTTGAAGAAGCTGACGAAGAACCCACGGGCCAAGCACGTGATGTTATTGTGGTGGAGCGTCAACGTGTAGAGGTTGCCATTTGGTTGGATAGCGGTTGTCGCCATTGACGTAATGGCGTTGTGGTCCAAGAAAAGTTCGTGCAGCCAGACTGGGAACGTGTGCGGTTTCAGTTCCGTGATGGCGTTGCGTGCAAGGTTGACTGAAGATAAGCGCCCCTCGCACGTGGGAAGCGTGCCATTGGGTACAGACGTGATCTGGTTGCGGCTAAAGTCCAGCTTCATCAAGTTGGGTGTTTGCATGCATATGCCTGACGGAAACGCAGCAAGTTGGTTGTCACTCATGTCCAATTCAAGCAAAGAAACTAGGAAGCCCAGGCTGCCATCTTGAACAGCAGTTATGTGGTTATGGCTGAGGTTCACGCACTCGAGAACTTTGAGGGGCATGTCGCCTCCGCGGACCGCTGTAAGAAGGTTGCCGTGTAAGTCCAGCGACATGAGCCCTGGAGCCCACATCAGCAAAACAGCGGGAATTTCAGTCAGGTAGTTGTTCGAAGCATCTAACATTTGAAGTGACTTGAGCGGCTGCTGAGGATTCAGGATGGTAGTCAAGAAGTTGTCGTGGAGGTCGAGCACACTCAGTTCCAACGCGCCACCGTGCTGCGGATCAATCAGGGATGATACGTTGAACGTGGATTCCATGAAGCCGACGAGATGGAAGGCCTTCAAGGAACTCCAATTGCCGTTCGAAAACATCCACTGCATGACCACATCCGAAGGATCACCAGTGAGCCAAAGTGCAGTTGGTTTCATGCTCATAGTCAGGTTTCGCAAGCATGGTGGGCCGTGTCCCCCGAGTAGCGGCCGATCATGAACTTGAACCGTCACATTAAGCGAGCCGTTCGCATCAGATGGGCTAAAGTCACAGTTGCAGCTGATGACATCTTGAAAGCTGCAAGTGACATTTGGTGTTGGATGTAACATTTGGGAAAAGCACAGACTTGAACCCGCTCGAGCGCGCGAAGAGCGCACAGGGCGTCTGTGTTTGACGCTGCTGCGACTCAAAGGGCGCTTCTGTTGTTGTTGTTGTTGTTGTTGTTGTTGTTGTTGTTGTTGTTGTTGTTGTTGTTGTTGTTGTTGTTGTTGTTGTTGTTGTTGTTGTTGTTGTTGTTGTTGTTGTTGTTGCTGTTGTACGGCCTCGAGGAAACGCCTATCTGGTGCATCATGCGTCTCCCTCTGCTGATCGTGGAGCACGTGCTGTCTTCCTGTTCTTGTTTCCAAGCCCGCACGCTCAAGTTGCGCAGCTTCGTCTTGTGCCTTGTTGCCCAGATCCTTTGTTGTGGGTGGGCATAGCGCATCAACAAGCGTCTGCAGCTCAAAGACACGGATGGGTGCCACGCCCTGTTTCATGCGATGGTGCCAGTGCTCACGCCGTTCCTTTTGTAGGGGAAGGTCATCAAGTACAAACGGTCGAGCATGCTCCTCCAGCACAGCAACCATCTGGGCCAGTGCTTGCTTTGCACCCGTGCACTGGGGTGGTGAAATACGGCAGCAGACCGCAGCATCAGAGGGGGCGGGGACGAAGGCAGCGCGACGTGCAGGGTGAAAGGGACACAATGGCAATCAAGTCGGCCACCATAGGTATGCAGGTGATGGAGCAAGGCAGATGGTAAACGTCGTAAACAAGTAGTAAACAAAACACCCAGGCACGCAGAGGCAGAGAGGCGAAGCGAACCCTCGAACCAGTCAAGCTGCGTTCACCAAAACGCCTGAACCGCAAAACCACCCAATAGCAAAACAGCAAAACGCCGGCACTGCGTACTGGACTTACGTTGATGGCGCGACCAGCAAGTTGCGAGTCTTCAAGTTCAGGCGGGGAGCGGGAAGAACTGGAAGCATGGCATGTTCTGCAAGCTGACAAGGCAAGCAACAACACCGTGTGTGCGAGTAGCAGCGAGCTTCTCATCTTTGCTGGTGGCTCGTGGTGAAGAAATTTGTGAATGCTGGCCCGAAACTTTGTTCGTGATCTGAACCTTTTGTCCTTGCTGGTTGCATCCGCCTGCTCCCTTTCCTCTCCCCTCTCCTCCTCGCTTCTCATCTAGTACTCAGGCGATCAACCCCATATGTTCAATGAAATGATACACAGACAGACACAGACAACACACACACACACAACTGGGTCAATTAGGATGCAGGAGAGAAAAAGAAAGCGAATATACGCACACACACACACACACACTCATGCTCCACTCACTCCCACACGCACGCGCACACGCAGAACACGTGTGCCAAGCAGAGCTAGCCATACACATATGATTACACAAAAAGAATTATCAACACAACCAACCAAACCAAACCAGCCAACAAAAGCACCCTCCAGCCACCGTGCATACACCATATACTTCTCCAGCCATCATCCAACCACTGCAGCGCGCGTTGTCGCTCACGCCTCTGCGGTTGGCACGGAAAAGAGCTCTGCGTATCGTCGGTGCGGGTCGAGGAGGTCGCGGTAGTGGCTTACGAGCATGTCCGTGGCATGTCGCCAGGTCAACGTCCCGCTCTTGCGCACAACCTCCAGCGCATTGGCGGCAAGCTCCTCGCGCAGCTGCGGCTTGTAGATGAGCTCTGTCAGCGCGTTGGCCCAGCGGTGGGGCTTGCCAGACTCGATAATGTACCCCGTCTTGCCATCCTCCACCAGCTCCTTGCTGCCGGGCGCATCTGCGACCACGACGGGCAGACCTGACGCCATCGCTTCCAGCGTGACGGCGCCCCACGTCTCTGTCAGGCTCGGGAAGAAGAACACGTCGGCGCTGGCAAACGCCGTGGAGAGGTTGCGGCCGTTGAGAAACCCCATGAACACGGCGTGCGGCAGCTCGGCCTCCATGGCGGGGCGCGCGGGCCCGTCGCCCACCACCACCGCCACAAAGTCTTCGTTGTGCTGCTCCATCAGCTTGAGCGCTTCAATCACCTCCTGCAGGTTCTTCTCCCACACCAGCCTGCACACGGTGAGCACGACCGTGGTGCGGGGCGCTGCGCCCCACTGCTCCCGCAGCGCAGGCGACCTTGCCTCCACGTTGAACATGCTCAGGTCGATGCCACGCGGCCACAGCCTCAGGTCTGTCTTCACGCCGTGGTCCGCGAGCTCCTCTGCCACGGATGGCGTGGGCGGGTACGTGTGCTGGCACTTGCCGTAGAAGGCGCGCATCCACGTCCACAGCGCCGAGTCCACGGACGAGAGCAGCTGGTTGTGGCCGAGGTAGTAGGGGAGGTACGAGTTGAAGCGCGTGTGGTATGAGCACACGACGGGGATGTGGTGCTCAATGGCCCACCGCTGCACCTGGTGGCCGAGGTAGTCTGGCGTCGCCACATGCACAATGTCGGGCTTGAAGGCCTCAAACAGCTGCCGCGAGCACGAGTCAAGGCCCAGCGCCAGGCGGTACTCTGGGCGGAAGGGCACCGACACGGAGTACGCCGGATACAGCAGCCCCTGGTGCTCCATGAGCGGCACGTCGCCCGTGGGCGCGATGACAATGACCTGGAAATCGCGCTGCTGCAGCTCTCCCACCAGCCTGTTCAGCGTCTTGGACACGCCGTCCACAATGTTGTTGTAGGCGCCAGAGGACACGAGGATTTTGGGGCCTTTGCGTGCGTAGGAGACGTTGATGCCCAGCTGGAACTCCGGGCAGCCCGGCGCCAGCTGCTGCAGGATGGGCGGCTGGTTGTCGTAGGAGCGCTGCTGCCGCGCCAGCTCATACTCCACCTCGTCCGAGCCGCTGCCCATGCGCACCACGCCAACCACGACCAGCAGCACCACAAAGGCGACGCCGATGAGCGCGCGGCGCCGCGAGCGGTGCGGGTCGCCACGGAACCACGCCAGCAGCGGGCCAGCAAAGGACGCCGTGTAGCCAGAGGCCGGGGACGATGGCGACGACGCAGACGGCGACGACGCAGAGGAGGATGCTGACGCCGACGTCCTGTGGCCTCTTCCCGCACCAACACCACCAACAGCGACGGAGAGGAGCGGCGTGGTTGCGGGCGAGTGGAACGAGGCGGAGGACTCGGAAGACGCTGGGTAAGACGGCGTTTGCGCCAGGGACGTGGGCGATGTTGGGCCCGTGGACGTCGCGGTGTAGCCGCAGCGCGAGGGCGGCGGGGACGAGGCCGAGTGCGAGGACCCAACGGAGTGGCGCGAGGAGTTACGTGAGTGGGCGCTGCGCGTGGCCCTCGAGCTGCCATGCTGATGATGATGATGATGATGATGGTGATGAAAGGAATTGCTGTTGCCAGCACCATTGCTGCTGTGATGCGTGTTGCGGAACGCGTTGGTAAACCCACCACCATCAGCATCATCGGCCTCCACCATCGGCGTGACAGCAGGAGCATCCGCTCGCCTATCGCTCATGCCACCGCCGCCATTCCCGCCGCTGCTGCTTGTTCTCCTGTGCATTCTCTCTCGTCCAAACAAACGCTCTCGTCAGCCCTTCGCTCCCTCTCTCGCTCTCTCGCTCGCGCTGGTGCGGGGTGTGGTGTGTGCGTGGTGTGTGCGTGGGTTTGTTGTGGTTGTTGGATTGTTGTTGTCGCCGCGTTGCTGTCGTGCGCCATCAACACCTTCCTCAGCACGGCGAAAATAAGAAATTTGGGTGACGATTGGCAATATTTTACACTGCATTTCCACCACACCCAGAATAATTTACCAAAACTCGGAGGGTGCGTGTGGGGAAAAGGCAATTCACCCACGGCAAGTGTGTGTGTGTGTGTGTGTGTGTGTGTGTGTGTGTGTGTGTGTGTGTGTGTGTGTGTGTGTGTGTGTGTGTGTGTGTGTGTGTGGTGGAAAAGAAAAGGGCGGCCAAAGCTCTCTCTCTCTCTCTCAAACAGCAGCATTGTGTGTGGTGTGTGGTTAGATGGCGTATGGGCGTGGAATGGCCGTGGTGTTGTGCTGGTAATCGGTTGGCTTGAGGTCCTCCAGCAGATGATACAGAACCTCTCGCCCTTCATCCTGATCCTGTGTTTTGTGAGGCGTGGAGCAAACACAAGCACAAGAGGGGAAAACCACAAGCAGCTGTGAGTGTGACAAAAGGGCACAGTGACATCACAGCGACATCACAGCACACAAAGGGAGGCACCATGTTGACGACTGCACACGTCACATAACGCACCTGCAAATCGGCGTAGTTATTCAGGATGAAAACGCAGCAGTGCGCGACGAGCATGGAGCTGCCCAGCCGGACCGCCGTGCGGTAATACTCAAGCGCATTCTGAATTGGTGGCGGTGGTGGTGGTGGTGGTGGTGGTGGTGTGAAAGCAAGAGGGAGAGGGGAGATGGATGAGGAGGGGATGGGGGAGGAAGGGACAGACGATGAAGGAAGGTGAGATGGGCAAGGAAAAATGAAGATACACACACAGATACACACACACGCACACACACAGAGACATATTGACACACAGACACAGATACACATACACATACACACACACACACATACACACACGCACACAGGTACATACAGACACACGCACACACACACACATACACACACGCACACACAAAACCGCACGTGGATGGAGAGTTTCTGTTGGAGGCGGACTTGGAGGTGGCGCTGCATGGGCTCAATCAGGAGGATGAATGCCGTCTCAAGCAGATCCAGGCACAGCTGGAGGAGGGGGAAGGGGGATAGGGGCGACGTCAGTGAAGGGAGGTGAGTGACGGGAGAGAAAGGAGGGTGAGGAGTGCAAACTCGCACAGGCACGCAATTACACACAGGCACGCAATTGCACGCACACACACACACACACACACACACATGCACACCTCATCGTCGTCGAGTGGGTAGTCTGCGTGGCCGGAGTAGAGGTAGTGCAGAGCAATGCGCAGCGTCGCCGGGGTCAAACCAGGCATCGATATCTGCACACGATATGCACACACGTGGCGCACAAGTGGTAATGCACTGTTAAGATGGCCAGATGCTCATGTCTGTGTGTGTGTGTGTGTGTGTGTGTGTTCTCACCTCCCGCTGCGACGCTTCGGCCCACTCCGACTCGAGCATGGCGCGGAAGTACTCGCTCTGTGCGCACAGCACAATCCTGGCGCAGAGTTGCGGCGGAGGTGTACAGTGAACGGTGAGTCAGCGTGTGCGCGCGTGTGTGAAAGCGAGTGCTAGAGAGCAGCACTGAAACGGTGCAGGTCCCTCATCAAGTCTGCACGAAGACACCCACCCACACACACACCTACACCTACACACACACACACACACACCTACACACACCTACGCACTCACACACATCTACACCCCCCCAACACACACGCACACGCACACACATCTACACCCCCCAACACACACGCACACACGCACACACTCACTCACACACCCGCACGAACCACCACGTGCTTCTGCCGACCTGTGTGCCTGGAAAGCCGTGCCGTCATCGGCTACGAGCGTGACGTCGCTGAACACGCCCGTCTCAAGATACCGCACGAGGTCAAGATGGTGATGCTGCTGATGATGCTGATGCTGGTGGTGTGCGGAGGTTGGCGATGGTGGCTGGTCGCCTTGCTGTGATGTGTGGTGGTGATGTGTGTGGCTGGTGTACCGCTGTCCGCTGTGGATGTGTCCGTGCTGTCCGGGAAGCGGCGGCGGCGCTGCAAACGGAAGAAACACGTTGCTCGCAACCTGCAGTGGCGTGCTGTTGTGTAGTGTTGTGTTGTGTTGTGTTGTGTTGTGTGTAGTGTTGCGTTGTGTGGGTACGTGTGTATTTTGTGTGTGCGTCAAGATAGTATGTGTGATGACAGGCCAAAACACGAAGCGTATGAGAGGCCACAGACGGCAGCCGAGATCAGGGCCATTCCCACGTCAGGCATGTACGAGTCAACACCGCACCGGCTGTGTCTGTTGGCAATGAAGATGTCGGCGCCGTTGCGAATCAGGTGCGCCATCATCTGCCCAGTGCGCGATTTGTGTAGGGTGAGGGCGATGAGGGATAGTGAGGGATGGTGAGGGATGGTGAGGGATGGTGAGGGTACTCTCAGAAATGGATACAACCCACGCACGGAAGCACGGTACGCAGAGAAAGAAAGAAGCCAACACGCACACACACACACACACACACACACACACACACACACACACACACACACACACACACACACACACACACACACACACATCACGTACGGGGGAGGTCTGGTTTCCTTGCTGCGACGTGAAGGGCGGTTGCGTGGCTGTTGGGATTGATGTCGTTGATCCAGAGCCCGTGATCGAGCATCATCTGAAGCCGAGGGAGGTTGATGGGGTTGAACGGGTTGAATGGGGGGGGGGGATGTTGCATGTGAGTGCGACGATGTGACAGTGGGGAAAGGTTAAGGTGTTGGCAGGCGTACAGGCGCGTGCGCGCACATACACACGCACACACACATACAATACACACACACACAACTCACACAACTAACACACACACACACACCTCACACCTCACACAACACACACACAACACACACACCTCACACAACACACAACTCACACAACACACACACAACACACACACACACACACACACACATAACTCACACAATTACATGCACTTGATCACCTTGACTGCGGGCATGTTGTGTTTGTTGACGGCTGCGCTGATCCAGGCCATGTCACGGGCGGGCAGCGTCTCGCGTGTCGGCACATGCGTCCACGACAGCAGAACAGCCAAGCACTGCAGTCAAGCGGTGAAGGGTGAAGGGGTGAAGGGGAGGGGGTAATCGTGATGGTACGAGTGTAAGAGTGGTGAGGGCGAGAGAGAAGAGGGGACAGTGTGTTTGTATGTGTGCATGCTTGCGTGTGCATGCGTATGTGTGTGTCTGTGTATGTGGCTGTATGTGTATGTGTATGTGTATGTGTCTGTGTATGTGGGTATGTATTTGTGTACGCATGTGTGTGTGTGTGTGTGCGTGTGTCTGTGCTCACCTCCAAGTGGTTGTGGCCTGCTGCCGCTTGCACAAACGACTGGTACTTCGCCTGCACCCGCGCCGGTGACACCTCCCGCAGATCCTGGCGTGGTGACGTGATGCGACAACGTGATGATTGTGGCGGTAAAGAAAGGAAGAAGGAAGAGACATGCAGTAGCAATGCAACGCACGGTGATGGGTGTGTGTCCTTCTCCCTTAATGTACGCACTGGCACACAAACACAGACAAACACAGACAAAGACACACACACACATACACACACACACACATGCGCGCAGTGCATCGTACGTTAAGTGCTGCCCTGAGCTGGGTGGGCTCGTGGTCTGCAATTGCGGACAGGACACGGTGGACGAGGGACTGCGGTTCCGTCTCCGGCGGCGCCTGGGTGGACGATGTCGCCTGTTGTCCTCTCAAACGCACGTGCTCGGCCTTGTCCCACGTGCCCACGCGCTCGCGAACAACAATGGCATCGCGATGCATTTCAAACAGACGAAAACTGTTCTCCTCCGCACGCGAATACTCTGTTGACGTCAGCAAGTCGTGCATGTCCTGACGC